ACAGGGTAACTGCTGTGCATTAACCTGATGGTTGATCAAGTGCTGCCTGGCCCTGGAAAATTTATATACAGATGAATAAGCAGGAAGTTCTACCTGTATTCTAAGTATATTTATATATATATATATATATATGTTTTAAAATGTGTGCTTAATATAGTATATATTATTTACATCAAAACATCTCAAAGCACTGGAGTGTCAGCTTAGACTATGAGCTCAGAGTCCTACTTGGGGGCATCAACCCACAACCTTCTCATTCTGAGGTGAGAGTTCCATCACCTGAGTAAAGCTGATATCTATTAAAGGTTGGACAATGAGATAAGCATTGTTGTTTTATGTAGCTACAAATCTTTTGATCACATTTTATGACTGGAACTGGTAAAGCGTCACTTAAATAGGTATTTTTCTTTTCTCTTGAGTCACTGGTTGTCTTAATCTTTAGACTATCAGTACTTCTTTTCTATATTTTATTTCTCTTAAAAAGAACATTCAATCAATCTGTTCCTTTTCAGCCTGTTTTTTCCCTACATTTGTGTTGGAGAATGGAAGGTTTTGATTGGCTGAAAAAGCCCATTTTTTTTAAGCAAACAACCAAAATGTGTTGATGGATTTTAGTTGCTTTCTTATCCAAGCAGATCAATCAAACATGTTTTTATTCGTCAAGGCAAGGTTTTTATTTGCCTAAACTAAGGCAACTAATTTGCCTTGGATAAGGATTAATAATGTCTGACTCTTGATGTTAAGATGAAAAAAACATTTGTATATAAAGTATTTCCACCTCGGCTATTATTATTTTCAACAGAATAAAGCAATTGCATTTGCATCATTTAACACTTATTAATATCCACATTCTTATGAAGTGTCAATTTAATTTTATATTGTTTGCCTGTGTACTGACACTTTTTTGGGGAAGAATCTTACTCATTCACTGGAGGACTAAATTGTTCCAATATGCAAAAGAGAACAAAGAAAAACTATGATCTCAGAACTGTTGCTCAACGGCAGGCTTTATTGATCAAAAATCCCACATATGGCAAATCTTGAATTGCACTTCTTTCTCTCTTGCCCCCCCCCCCCCCTCACAAACACACACACACAGCAAAGAAAGCTGCAAAGAAAAGTCCTAGCAGAGAGCTGGATAACTAGAGAGCACTCTAGGTTTTGAGTGCACTTTGATTGATGGCTGAATGGCTAAGAGAGATGATGACAAATTGTCAAGGAAATTTTACTCTCCTTTAAGGTACTTTTAATGCTGATTTAGAGTTGTTTTTCTAATCTTTTTGCATCAGAAATGGTTTTAATAATTCACTTTCGATAGCAAATTTTATGTATGTGTACTCCATTTATGGCTGAAACAACAATGTAAAGTGTAATATAATCCATACAGGCCGGTGATGATTTCTTCCATGCCATTCACTTCACTTACAAGGTCTTTTTTTCCCCCCCACCACAGTGGGAAAGATATGTGATAAACATTTAAGAGCCCAGGTTTGTACTGCGGAGCATGCATGCACAGATTCTGTTTTGTTGCTATTTCTGTAAGACTTGCCTCCCATAAATCCCGAACAACAACAACTTGCATTTACATAGTACCCTTCATATAGCATAACATAAATTTGATAGAAATCTCAGGACAAGGTTTAGCCAATCCACTTTGTCCTTCTAATGTGAAAGATGTTTTCTAAATGTAATTTTAATGTTGTTCTATTTGAAAACAACATAAAATTGTTAAAATGTCAGTTCTCCAATGCATTTTGAGGTTGTATTTCAGCTGGTGCTCCTACAAATTTAGTATGAAATTCCTCGAGGCAGGAAATTCCTGAAACACGTATTTATATTTATAACTGGTTCTGCAGTCTGGGCTCAGCATTTGAATACTTTGATTTAAGAGAACTGCCCCGTTCTGTTTGTAATTAAATCCTCCTTTTAAATAATTTTTAAATGTTCATGCTCACTACTTACTTTTAATAAAAAGTGATTACATAATTGTGGCAATATACGTTATGTTGGAGCAGTTTATGTTACCACAAGAGTTGGGGGCAGAGTGCCAATTAAAATAACTCTTTCATCCCCACATTTTTAAATTTCCAATTACTGGATAACAACAACAACTTGGATTTATATAGCGCCCTCCACCTGGATGGCATCTCAGAGCGCTTTACAGTTTCAGAACCCAGGACCAAGCCAGGGGGAGGGGGTGGGGGGGGGGAAGGTGACCAAAGGCGCGGTCGAAAACAAAGGTCTTCAGCAGAGACCTAAAAATGGGAAGGGAGGGAGCGAGACGAAGGGAGTGAGGAAGGCAGTTCCAGAGCCTCGGGGCGTAATGGCTGAAGGTACGACCGCCGAGGGTGGAGCGGAGGACGCGGGGGACAAGGAGGAAGCCAGACCTGGAGGAACGAAGACAACAGGTGCTGTTTTGAGGAGAGAGGAGGTCAGAGAGGTAGGGGGGTGCAAAGGAGTGCTCATATTAGCTGTATTTGATATTATCCTATTTGATGCTCATATTAGCGATCAAAGTCTTGGAAGGGCTGCAAGAATAAGGTGGAAGTTTATTTGTATGCTTCTTGGTGGTCAACTAAGTGAAGACTTTGTGGCAAGTTTGCCGCCTCCTGTTTTATAACACTGATGAAACATGTAGAAAAACTAAATGTTAATTGCTAATATTGAGGTAGAGAAAGAAAGAAAAAAAAAGCAGTGATATGAGTGATTCTGGTTGGTCCTTATTTTTCCCCACAATCTCTCCCAAACTTCAATAATAATAATAATCCTTGCATTTGATATAGTGCTTTTCACGTCTTCTAGAGTCTCAAAGCGCTTCACAGAATATACTGTAAAGTGAATTGACTGTATATTTGTGGGCGAACGCAGCAGCCAATTGCACACTACGATACAACCTGAAAAGTCTGGAAATGCAAAATTGGGAGAATTGGGAGTTATATTGTGCAGTTTCATTGCAGTGTGATATTTGGGTTTATAAAGTGCAATCTTGCTATAAACACGATGCATTATAATAATTATTATAATCCTTGCATTTGATATAGAGCCTTTTCAAGTCATCGAGACATTTCAAAGCACTTCACAGGATATACTATAATGTGGAGTGACTGTATTTTCTGTGGGCGAGACGCGACAGCCAGTTGCGCACAGCAATGTCTCACAAACAGCCATGGTGTGAGTGACTAATTTTATTTGAGGGTTTGTTTACCAGGCTGTGTACCTAAGTCTTAGCTGACTTCACATGCAGATAATGTACAGTTTCAAGTTGTGATATTGTACGTTTCAACTGAAACATCCTAGTTGTACTTAACGAATATACGGAACAATGCAATATTTAACAGACCTTTTTCTCCTTTTTGTTTTTTGGCAGGATGTATGTGGTTCTAATGACGCCACGTTTTTCTTTATAAAACACCCGCTATTGGTTTTATGTTCCTGCACTTTAACCATTGTTTCCTCAGACACTTAAAATGTTCTGGACTGAAATTTTCATTTCAGTTTTCCCATGGGAAATCTAAAGCACCAGCTTTACTTTCCTCTTTCTACAAAGTTGTACTTCTTTGTCTGTTATTCTTTTGGGAATTAATTGTTTGTCTTCAGGGCTTGGGCTCTTTTATGGTAGAAGAAGAGAAATAACATTACCAATAGAATATTGAATTCCCTTTTATCTCTGAATTATTTTTAAACAGGATGCTTGACTCAAAGCTATTTGTAAAGGTGTTGCTTTATTCCCCTACTGAGTAGTTTAGGCACATTCAAAGTTGTCGTACAGCATCTTCTGTTACAGTCTACTGTGTAATATTCAAGACAACCAAAAGACCTAAGCCTGCTGTTTTCTTCTGAAACTTCTTGCATTTTATGTTCATTATTGCAAAAAGAATGGTGTTTTTTTGAATTGCAAGGAACTGACAGTAGAAAAATAGAAGGGTAAAAAGATGATATACAGTACAGAACCCAATGTCTGCACTAATTTGGACTGATTTCCACTGTGGCTGTGATAACAATGCGGATGTGAAGCCATTACACCATGTACAGTCTACAAAGTGACCCAAACCAGCTTCTATCAATAACTATAGTGTCATGATTTTCCCACTGAAACACTCACCCATGCCTTTATTACATCCTGCTTAGAGTTTCCCAATACATTCCTTAAATATCAAAATGCTTAAAAGGTATACAGCGCCTTGGGACGTCCTCCTGACGTGAAAGGCGCTTTATAAATGGAATCTTGTTGTTGTTGTTGTTGTTGTATACAATTTTGAGGTCAAAAGGTACATTTAAAATTGCCTTTTTAAGCTCTGTTTAAAGCTCTTAACGCATTCTAAATGTGCTGCTACCATATAGGGAATTTTTTGAGTAAAGTACTGACTATTAGAAACCAGACACTGTATTCGGTAACCATTTTAGTTCAGGGTACATTTTATTCCAAATATTAATGCTTCATCAAAGGCAATTATACACAATAAGTGTTAACTGGCTTGATGTACTTTGATCAATTATAATTTTTATGTGTGTGTGTATATATACATCAATTATAATATATAACTCATCACTCCAAAGGAAAGAGGAACAATGATGAGTTACCTGGAGTGGCGTATTAGGCATATGTGGCTGGGTTATTGACATCATGATGACTTAAGTGATTGTGACAAGTTAAGCCAAGGTCAAGTTATCCGGACTTTACTGTATATACACATACTCCGTGTATTTGGTATAGCATCTTATTATGTTGTCAAAACGTCTCAAAACCCTTTAAATGATTCACTGTAAAGTGCAGTGATTGCATTTGTAGATGAACGAGGCAACAAATTTGCACATAACAATGTCCCAGGAACAGTCGTGGGAATGACCAATTATGTGTTTTTCTGGAATTTATAACTTGTGGTGGTTCTGTGTAATGTAATTTGGGTGATGTCAAAAACTTGTGGCTCAGTCTAAATTAGATGCATTGTTCAATTACATTGAATAAAACAAAGTTTTGAAATGTGTTTTTTTCAATTTAGACAAATTTGACCAATTCTGGGCCATCAATCGAAAACTAATGGAGTGTCCAGGAGATGAAGGAGGTTTCCGGTATATTCCTTTCAGGATATATCAGGTGAGAACCTTTAGCATACCTACATAAACTTTGAAAGCCATAGTTTATTCGCTAGTCATAGGTGCATTTGAAGACGGTTTTGATAATGTTGTGATGTATTTTACTCAGGATGCATTTTACTTGGAGTACAGTTGTAAACCAAGAATATCCTAGGAATTGTAATATTTTATTCTCATTTAAAAAAAAATAAAAGGAATATTTTTCACCTGACAAAATAAATGCACTGATTGACTTCATACTTTAGTGACTTTTCCTTCTGACAAGTGGTAAATTGCTTGCGAAGAAGCCTTCCTTCAAAAGACCACTGCATTCCTCTCCAAAGCAGGTGAAATATTGATGTTTTAAAATTAATAAATAACAACAGTATTGAATGGTTCCTAAATTCCATTCTTCACATAACTGAAAGACTAATGTGCAAAATGTCCTTTTCGGCAATCTATTTTGAACATGCACTTTCTGTCTCATTTTAATCTCAAATTAATCACAAGCCGCTCAGGAGTTGCGTTTTTAGCTAAGCATTACTGACTCATCTCCGACTCATCTGATGAAAGCTTACAAACAAAGGGGAAGTGCTGTATCAAGTATGAGACAGCAAATTGGTGTCTTGCGCAACTGTTTCCGTGAAATTCTTGGTAGTGAAATAATTTTGGGGTAGTGTGAATTTTCTATGAGCTTTAGCTTGTGCAGTGTTTATGGATACATTTTTTCAATTGACAGTTTCTCATAATGGTAATTGTGCTGGTTAGAACTAAACTTTTTCTAGTTAATACTAATCTCGCCTCTGGGTTGAAAGGTTATAGGTTCAATTCGACTCACAGACTTGAGCCTCCGCTGATACTCCAATGTAATGGTTGAGCATTATGTTGTTGGAGATGCTAACGTTCGGATGGGACATTAAACCAAGGTCCCATCTTCTTGGTCATTAAACATCCCATGACATAAATTGAAAGGAGAAGAAATCTTCCTATTGTCGTATTAGTGTAGTCCTCTAGCTCAGTGGTTAGAGCACTTACCTCGCAAGCGAGAGACCTGGGTTCGATTCCCGGACAGGGTGAAACGTTGGGCAAGTTTCCTTACCCTACACCCCTCTGTTTACCTAGCAGTAAGTAGGAACCCGCTTGTTAGTCGATTGGCTTATCGCCTTTCTGACTGGAGAGTGCCAGATATACCAGCATGAATTCTCACGTAACCATACCAGCATGAAGAAGATCAGTAAGAAAAACTTAAATTATAAAGCATAGAGACAAATAGGCAGTTTTTATTTGTAATTATTCAATAGAATATTCTGATAAAGCTACAGATATAATTTGTGGATGGTAGTTCTCTTTCTTTTTCTCTACCACAGAAAACATTACTTTGCTCATCACTGGAAAGCAAAGATCTAGTTCAAATGGTCAGTTCAAGATCTGAAATGGAAAGTAGCAAAAGTCAAAGAGTGTATGGTCTATTTGGAGAGTCATACCATTCACAGGGTGGGGAGTGGGGAGGGATTTGTCTCACTCCGTACCTGTTAAATCTACATGCATTCAAGCACCTTACTCTCTACCACCCCTCCAATCTTTCCCTCAGAATTCTCTGATTTGTCGTCCCCCAAACCCTCCCCACGTTCATCTGCGCCCTCCTAGCTTCTCTGTTCTGAATGCCTCCTCATCCTAGGCGACTTCAACCTGCACTTCAACTCCTTCCCTTTCCGCTGCACTGGAGTCGCCTGAACTCCTCTCCGTCTGGCCTACCTCCCACACCGACTTCCTTGGTCACTCTCCTCCACAACTTCCACTTCACCATTCTCGATGCCCTTGCCCCCCTCACCTCTTGAACCACCTCCTACTCGCGCAACTCACCCTGGTACACCAGCCACCTTCGCTCACTCGAGGAGATCCGTTCAACTCCCTCCGCCCTCCAAACTGCCACTCCTCCCCATCTCTCCCTCACACTCCAGCCCCTACCCATCCCTCCCTCCACACTTTCGAACCCTTCCTCTCTCACCACCACTATAACCTGCATGAGGCCCACCACCTGCTCCCTTGACCCTGTCTCTACCCTGCTCCTTACCTCCCAACTTCACCTCCTCGCCCCTTTACTCTCAGACCTCGTCAGCCTCTCACTGTCAACTGGCACCATTCCCTATCAAAGCGCTCTGAGATGCTACCCTGTGTGGAGGGCGCTATATAAGCTGAACGGGCTGCAAGGTGACATGCCTGGCAATGGAATCAGAATTGAGCCAGCCCTCTCCAGCAGTCTTAGTAGGCCGGTTTCTGAGCCAGGTGGGTCCACAGTATTCCAAGGCACTGCTGATGACAGTACAGCCAGCCTGGCTCATCGGCAGGACCTGGAAGGGCAGACCAGTCACAGGGGGCAGGGAGTCATCTCACTCAGCAACCTTTAACCTGGCAACAACAAAATTACATTTGTATAGTGCCTTTCATGTCTGGACAACATCCCAAGGCGCTGGACAAACAGAATTTCGGACCTGAGCTGCGGACTGGGGAGGGTGGAGAGCAGGGAGGGAAGCAGGGAGATCAAAAGCATGGTCAAAGAGTAGGGTCTTGAGATGGGTCTTGAAGGAGTCAAGGGAGGGTCAAGGCGGAGAGACTGCAGGATGGAGAGGACGGGGCAGAGTGGCAGAAGGCCCACCTGCCAGTAGTGGGGTGAGCGAGGCTGGGGACGTGAATCAGGCCGGTGTCCGCTGGGGGAGCGAGCAGGATGGTAGGGTGTTAGGAGGTCACAGAGGTAGGGGGGAGGAAGACCATGGAGGGCTTTGAAGGTGAGGTCTAGGATATTGAACTGTATCCTCTGTGTGATGGAGGCCAGTGGAGTTGGTGAGGATGTGGGTGATAGGTCGCGGAGCCTAGTGCGGGAGAGGACATAGGCTGCAGAGTTCTGGATGATCTGCAGGCTATGGAGGGAGGAGTTGGGGAGGCCGACAAGCAAGGAGTAATGAAAGCATGTATGAGTGTTTCGGTGGCCTGTGGTGTGAGACAGTGTCGGAGCCGGGCGATTTTGCGGAGATGGGGAAAGGCAGAGCGGGTCATGGCGCAGATGTTGGGTAGAAAGGATAATTGAGGGTCAAACGAGACCCCAAGAATCCGGACTGGCTTAGTAAGGTGGAGTGTGCAACCATGGATGGTGTTGCTCTCAGTACCTGAGGTGAGGAGGCTCTGACGGGAGCCAATCAGGAGAGTCTTGGTTTCTGGAAGCCAAGCCCCTCATGAGAAGGGTGGTCCTCGCTGGACAAGCAGTGGGAAAGCTTGCTGGACAGCAATATCAAAGCAAGCTATGCGGTTTTAGCTGGTTAGACTCCAGCAGTACCACAACGCACACCGTGGGGTCCTCAAGCCTTGGCTGTTGCCAACCTGCACCTTATAGTTTCCGGAATTAGGTAAGCAGGATGTGTCCCTCCAGGGAGAGAGTGTGCATACAATTACAACAATCTATCTCTGGGATTTCCATGTGTAGGTGGGATACNAAAAAATCTCACCTTGGTTTGGACAGTCTTAATCATGGTGATGGGTTTCTGCATTATTACAACTCAGAATGGCTTTGAATCGCATTCTTAAATTATTTACTCATAGTCATATCAGAGATAGTTTAACAGTTAGGGTGGAAATAGGGTCACTGCAGAATCAAACATTCTTAAAAACTAACTAACTTTCATAGCGCTTTATATGACAACAAATCACTTAACATGAACTGTTTGCCAAAAGAAATGCTGTGTTTATCAAATTATGATCTCTGTATTGCTGATTTTGATTTTATTTTCATTATTCTGGCTTTATTCACTGAATGTGATACAACAATCTATAGTGAATATTTTGTTCCTTCTTACTGACATAGATCCAGTACCTTAAAGCTTGACATTACCCACAGATATTGTTCTTGTTTGCTAATTCCAGTTTCTAAGAATAACAATGAAAAGCACTAAGCGTTACAATTGACAAATATGTGGTCATATCAGAATGTATGATTTGTGGGACTTGCGTAACTATCATGCTTCAGTGGTCCTGAACAGCAGGACTTCCTGTTTTTTTTAAAACCTGTACAGTTACAAATATGGTTATTCTTTTCCAGCGTGTTAAATAATAATAAGTTGTATAACTGTCAACTTATCTTCCATATTTTAAGATATAAGAACTTGTATCATTATTTAGCTAATAAAGTCGTCTTCATCCATCTTATACTCTGTATAAGAATAAATATGCTTCTGAGAACATAGGAGGCCATTTAGCCCACTGCAGACAATGCCCGCAGAGGTTGACAGATACCATCAGGATTACAATTCCCAATATGTTTTTCCCTCTGATCCACACATCTCCAGTGTCTCATGACAAACTGTCCACGCATGCTTTAGTTAAGTCTGTGTCGTATTGTGTTACCTCACCTTCTGCAGTTAATAATGCCAAATAGCAGTGGTGAGTTTCACTGAAGGTTGTGACTGGTATTCAAGTGCCTCCTGATGTAAGAGGATGACTTGGGTGAAGAGGTGTCAGCTGGCAGTTTAAACAGTGCAAATTCTGTGAAATATACTACATGGCATAAATACAAAGATATGAAATACAACACAAATAAATACCGTGAAAGTTTGATTTTACTGATAAGTAAAATGAAAAGAGCCCGTGTCTGCAGTGGGGGAGAGCGAGTGTCTGCAGTGGGTGGGGGGTGGGGGGGCGGGGGCGGAGAGCGAGTGTCTGTAGTGGGGGGTGAGAGCGAGTGTCTGCAGTGGGGGGAGAGAGCGAGTGTCTGTAGTGGGGGGTGAGAGCGAGTGTCTGCAGTGGGTGGGGGGGGGGGGGACGGGGGCGGAGAGCGAGTGTCTGTAGTGGGGGGTGAGAGCGAGTGTCTGCAGTGGGGGGAGAGAGCGAGTGTCTGTAGTGGGGGGTGAGAGCGAGTGTCTGCAGTGGGGGGAGAGAGCGAGTGTCTGTAGTGGGGGGTGAGAGCGAGTGTCTGCAGTGGGTGGGGGGGGGGACGGGGGCGGAGAGCGAGTGTCTGTAGTGGGGGGTGAGAGC